TTTTGAAGGTATTTTGGTTTGCAGATTTATGTGGTGGACCAGGTGGATTCGCAGGTTTTTATCAATCAATTTATATTTGAGTCTATATTTTTTTTATTATTCGCATACACAGACTTGTAACAATTTTTTAGAGTATTTATTATGGAGGAAAAATTCATGGAGCGAAAAAGCATTTGGATGGGGTATAACTTTAACTGGTGATAGAGATTATGACTTGGATAGGTTTCGTTTCGAGGCTTTAGTTAAAGATTGTTTTAAAAATTGTTATGGTGCTGATGGTACAGGTAATATTGTCAACCTATTTTATAATAAGTATGATTTAGCATTTTTTATAAATATAATAATAACCTTTATTAATAAATTTGTTATTTATATATATGTATATTAAGGTGATTTATATAATGAAGAAAATATTAAAAATTTTGCAAAAGTAGTGATGGAAGGAACTGATGGTGTCGGTGTTGATTTGGTTACAGCTGATGGTGTACGTTTAATATAATTTTCAATTTATTTTTTTTTTTTAATTATTTTAAATCCTCCACTAGTGTGTCTTTTCTTTAATTAGTTTTTTTTCTAGAGTCTTAATTTTAGAGGAAAAGAAGATTTGCAAGAACATCATTCAAAACAATTATTGTTATGCCAAGTGATTGCAATGTTTAAGACTTTGAAAAAAAGTAATTAATCTATTTTATTTATCAAAATCATGACAACTTTCTAAAAAAGAAAAAAATATCATCATTAATCAATTTGGTTTTTTTTTTTTTTAGATGGTGACTTTGTGATGAAATTATTTGATATTTTTACACCATTTACTGGTGGTATTGTATGGATATTATATAGATATTTTGAACAAATTTCCATCATAAAACCTTTAGCAAGTAGACCTGCAAATTCTGAAAGGTAAATAAATAAAAGACATTAGAATTTATTATCATCATCATTATTATATTATATTAAATTGATATATACTAATTATATCATTATTCATAGATATATAATTTGTAGAAGTTTAAAACAACACAATCCACCAATGGTAGATTATCTTTTTGATGTTAAT